GCGACTTTGCCTAAGAGCTGTTGCAGTCAACCGGTAAAAAAACCATTATATCCGTAAAACATTGACTGACTATTTCGGTTCACTGCATGACAATATTTTATCCATACTATGAACTGATAACGCCTCTATTCTACTTCCTATTGAAATGACCAGTCACGTAACTTTTATGTTACCTATTAGAAATTTGACTACAGTTAACGTCTATTTACATATATTAAACTTAAAAACAGCTCGAAAATTTTAGAGATCTCTTTACTTTGCAGCATAAAATCATTGTACATAAAAAACATTTGACTTCATTCTCAAAATTTTAAAAATTGAGTTCTAGGATTAGTTAAATGAGATACATTAAATATGTTTTATTTCTAAATAATTTTTTTTTTCACACAGTCAAGCAACCAGAAAGTAATCAAGTGGCTTGCGACTTATTTTTCTGTTTACGAAAACATTTACGAATAAAACTTTCGCATTAGAGATTCATCTATTGAGATTTTATAAATTTTGTACCAGAAAAGATGTCCCTTGATCTTTAGTAAATGTAGCATGATCAACTAGCCTATGCACTTTTGTCACTATTATAATTAAATATTAAGCCAAAAGAAGGCATAAGTATGTTTGTGCACGGGACTTTAAAATTGTTTCATGAATATCAAGTTCATCATAAAAAAGTAGATCGGACACTTAACTGAAAATATTGCTCAGCTAAACTTTACTCATTACAGACAAGTACCCAGTTGTCGTTACGGCGGATATACTAAATTAACATTTCAATCATTACAAAACTCGAGTGCATTTTAGATCTTAAGTTAAATATTGTGGTAAATCCAGTTCAAATATTGCTGAAATGTTAGTAATGACTGAGCGATGTTCTCAGAGTGTAAACAGCTACGTAGACTATACAGATTTTTATTTTTATTTTACTTTTTATGGCTTTATATCTTATATATCTCTAAATTTTGCATAAAAAATGTTCAAGCCTTGAAGAAATGCACAAGACGACATTGTTTATAGTGTATTGATACAAGGGCAAACAAAATGTTGCTCAAAACAAAAATACATTTCTTTAGTATTAAAACATCTCAATCCATGTTAAACACATTATTTCTAAGCGTCTCCCATAAAGTATTGTGAAAAAATTTTATTCTTAAAGGTATTTTAGTTTATAACAGGATTAAATATTCTCAGCTAACAACTGGCTTCTCATGAAGTTGTTATTACTATTAAAAACAAAAAAATAATAATACAAAAACAGTAGTACTAGCTTCAGCAAAGAAGATCACGGTGTAGCGGCTATGATAATAATATTAATCCTGTAGTTCAGTTACTACATAGTTTTATTTAGCTTTTTAAGAATCGGTTATGCATTTATGATATCGCAGTAGTACCTTAAATTTTGTTTTATTAAAAAAAAAATTTATGTTTGCTTTTGTAACACTAAGTATACACATAAAAAATGCTTATCACGTACAACAAACTTAACTCAAAACATTGATTCATTAAATACCTTGAGGGCTCTTAAAAACTTGTTACACCAAAAAAACTACCAATTTAACTATGATATTTTCTATAAATTATCAATAGGTTCTTATACTTATGTTACATAAAATTAATGTATTTGTGAAACACATGAGCATAACGAAAAATGGAATTTCAGCATATGGTACAGCAGATTGAAGACTGTAAACAGAGTTAGCTGTAACAACAAGTTTAAACCTGAAACAGCTATCAACAATCGTAATAAAAACATCTGTAGAGCACCACAAAAAAAGTAGTTCTGTCATGAATATGTCGATAAAGCTAACACCGCCATCTTAGCAATGTTGCATTACTTATATGTCTACAAATTTTTATCCAGTATTCGTCATGACTACACGTTAAATAAATTTTGATAAAATGGACTATTTTTATGAAAAAATTCTGATTTCTTCAAAAAAATCTGCTAACTCTATCAGTTACATACTTGAATATACAGTAAATATTCTCGAAGGTTAAAGTTTGATTAACGATACATTAACGGCTCATACTGTTAACTACATAAAATATGAACTGTAATGCAAATTTTTATGATGAATATGTGTGACTGTTTAAAACTAAAAAAATTTTCGATGAATCATGCTTTTTAAGCAAGTTACTTGACTTACTTCACATCAATTTTTTAATCAAAAACTTAATTTCCTATGGTAAATAAAAAGACTACAATGATTTTTCAATTAATTATTGCATATTCGTTAAGTTTTTTAAACAATTGCTTGGTAACGGCTTGTTTACATGATGGATCACAGATTGTAATTCAAGTTTATCAACGAGACTTGAAAATTCATATTAAAATTTTTTTGTGAAATCACTACGTGTATTTAAAATTTTATGAGGAATTAGTTATTGAACCTACAAAAAAGACTGAGCCTTATACAAAAATTTGAGTAAAATACACATATGTTTAAGAATTGAGCATTGTTTACTGCTTACTGAGGCGATTTATAAACGCATATTCAACTTGAATAATATATATAAGTATAACCGTTTTGTGTATTTTGCCTTTGTGTGAGTGCGAGTGTTAGTGATAGACTTTTATGCGTTACGTTAGTGTGCGTTCACGGTCTAAGTGGGAAAACGGCTTGCCTTACACTTGAAATTGTCACTGCTTGCTAGGCAAAAAGAATTTCAGCTCCAAGCTAAAAACATTTGAGGCCGTATCACGTTATGCCGTATTGCCGTCAGCAATCATTTGTGTGTATGTGTGTGCGTGCGCGCATCATGTTGATAACATTGGTAAGCTAGTTCAAAGATTTTATAGTAAAACAAAATTTTTTGTAATGATTCATAGAACCAAACAATTTGCACTTCACATTTAAGATTAAAAGTGAATAAATTTTTTTATTGACATTGACAGAACCGATGGCCTAACCGTTATTATTTCCTGTAAAACTAACATCGCGTTGAAATTTCGACACTGAATCGACCCGTGTGAAAAGTATGATTGGTGATTTTGACAGAATAATGATAATTAAGCTGATGAAAACTGTATTTACGAGCTGTAAGAAACGCTAAGTATAACTCATCAAAAAGACACACGTTGTACGAGAAATGCTATCCAAGCAAAAGAAGCATCTAGCGTGAGTTAACTTAAGAAAATAAAAAGTTAACAAACTGTGTCTGTTTTTAAAATATGAAACAGTACAACCGTCAGAACAAATGCAAGTATATTTTGTCAGATAGCTATTAGCGTTGTGATAATCAAGACAACTGCCATCTTCAGAGTTATGAATGCAAACAAATCACATATTCAAAAGCAAATCAAGTATATAAGATACATACGTTAAACTGTACTCAGCAATAAACGACACTGAACACAAATCTAACTAGATACTGGCGATAAGGGAAGCAGTTCAAAATTACACACAGCTAGCTACGATTTCTTAAGAGAACAGAGGAAAGTCTCTGAACGCTAATGATTTACAAGTAGAAGACGAATATCGTAAGTCACGGACGAGAAGTTGAAAGCAAGTTTGGAAGAGGAAGTAAAAGCACTTTATAAGAAGCAAAGTGTTGTTTTTGAGTGACTGAAAAGAGCAATTAATTGTGCACATTGAGTTGCCACCATCGGCAAAGTAACACCTATAATGCAAACTCAAGATGTAAATTTGAAAAAATGTTGGATAGATTGTGTTAACATTAACGTGGGAATTCACGCGATAGCTGCACAAATTGGTCAAACTTAATGCTTGAGCTTTAAGCACAAATAAATTTACCACAGCAAAGTCTCCTTTGATCAAGGCTGAGAATCAATCTTCCATTTGGATTTATGATACGCATTAATAACAGTCACTACAGCTCAGAACGTGGGACCCGGCGTGGTTACGAATGTAAATCTACCGCGAATGAGTATTCCGCAATTCTCAGGTGAAGTCATGGAATGGGTTCCCTTTCGCGATTTATTTTGTGCATTTGTTAATTCTAATTGTTCAATTAGCACCATAGAAATGCTTCACCGTTTAAAAACACGCGTAAAAGGGGATGCAGTGATATGATTGGTCATGTACATCTATCACAGGATAATTTCGATACTGCTTGGAATCAGCGACAATCTTAAGGGCATTCAGTACATCATTTAAAATTTCTACTTTATCGACTTCTCTATAATAAGAAACTATTGTCAATAACTAATTATATGATTATTTAAGCCCAAAATAATGAGAAGAGCCCCTAAGCAGGTACTTTGAAGAAACAATCAAGCCTAAATTTAATACAATTTGTTGCGAATTGAGAGAAAAAAGTTACATTTCGTGATCATGAAAGAGTGGGTCAGTGTGCACAATCTGAAATGTAACTTTTTTTCTCTCAATTCGCAACAAATTGTATTGATTTTAGGCTTGATTGTTTCTTCAAAGTACCAGCTTAGGGGCTCTTCTCATCATTTTGGATTTAAATAGTTATATAATTAGTTATCAACAATAATCTCATTATATACAAGTCGGTAAAGTAGAAATTTTAGATGATATACGGAATACCTTTAAGTGCTGGGCAAGCCGTTTTTCCACTTAGACCGGAGACGCACACCAACGCAATCCATGAGAGTCAACCACAAACACTTACACTCACACGAAGGTAAAACAGAGAAAACAGATATCTCATTTATTTTGTACAAGTTGAATATACGCACATTAATTGCCTCAGCAAACTGTCAAGAACAACGATTGATCTTTAACAAATTACCCACCTTGAAATGAATATTTCATATTTCATCGAAACATTACCTAACTTTTATTAGCAATAATGTCACTTAACGCACAATGTGCTATCATTTATTTTGAAAAGATGATTTTGACAAACATAAGAGATTTTTATAGTAAAAATATTTTAATTTTTTGACTTGTTCTAAAACTTTTTTGGAAACACTAATAATATGTACCTAATGAAACCAATTAACTCAACTAAATAAAAAGTAAAATTGATTATGAAACTTTTTATGTTTAAAAAATAATACAAAAATACCATATTACTTTGTATACTTGATGAGTGCTTCGTGAAACTTCTCAGACTTTAACAGCAAATTCCCTTCATTCTTAAGTTTCTCAGATGTTTCTTTATCTTCCAACGTAGCTTCATGGCTGGCTATCTGCATTGACTTTGATTGAATTGATTTAAATATTTTTAATATATCAAAATTCGATGAAACATTTGCAGCTTGAACTCCATACGCACTTTCTAAACATTGGATTGAGACTTCTAAGCTTTCACGAGAATCCGCAGTTAAGTCATCTTCTTCCAATAACTGTGACAAACATCGAACTATCGATGCTATTAAAGTCTTGTGAACCATGTTTAGTCCCTGATATTAAAAAATATAAAAAATAATATAACACTTCAACATGAACAGTTCATTAAATTTTTAACTTACATTGTGGCTTTAGTTTAAAATCTCTTATATCATTTTTAATAATAATACAAAAAGTAAGCTTTAGAAAGAGAAATACTATTGTTACGATAATCTGCTATCATACAGCAATATTATATAACGTACCATTAAGAATATCATACGACCGATGTGTTAATGATATAGACTTAATGATACAGCTAAAGAAAACTATAAAATGCGAAAACATTGAGAAATACACGAAAATAGAAATATGACTGTGGAACTCAAATAGCTTTATTCAAATGAAGTTACTTCAAAACAAAGAATCCTTCGAAAAACATAAAAATATGTGTCATATTAGATCAAAAATTGTTCCAAGGTTCAGTGATTTATTCAATAATTTTAATAAACTGTTGTAATAGTTACGCTGACTTATGAGTAAAAAGCCTACCTTCAGATAAAAGAATCGTTACAAACAGAAGCATTTAACATAACTCTTTTACTTGATCTTATGCCTTTAGAATTACGCCATAAGGAATGTTGCTTAAACTTTGATAATAAAGTTTAAAATTATGGTTTTTCTCCTGTTTTAATTGACTTGGTTATAAGTTCTTGAATTTCTAAGTACCAAACTGCCCTAAAAATATTATTTGTAACTTTCAGGCTGTCCTCACCAAACCTAAGAATCTAGGTGTAACAATTTACAAGCTGAAAAAAGTAACATGAAAAATATGAAGGGCTCTTGAGAAAAATGATGCAGATAGTAATTGGTAAGTGCGTCTAAGTCAACCTCATATCTTTAGAAAGAAGTCTGAGTAGCTACTAGACTATACAAGTACATTGGAAAAAATTTTCCAAAATCTGCTGCAGTTCAGAAAGTTTAAGTACGATTGCAAAACGCTAGATATAAATTGAATACACTTTTAAGAATAGTTATAGTGTTTTCTCCCTCCATATTAGTGTTTATTAATAATATTTGGTTGATCTTTTAGGGCACATTACCAAAAAAAAACATGTCACGTTTTTTGTACAGCAACACTTCGTCAACTAAAGCGCCGACCTCTTAATACTTTATTTACAAATTTAACAATAAATCAATAAAAAATCAACAAATTATGAATACAAGTTTAAAAACACAGATAACCTGTAATGAAAACACTGAAGAGCATTATTTAACTTAGCGAGATTCGCTTGCACACAAGTCAAACAGGCAAAAGCACCCACTTTACACGAAGTTGTCAATTTGTAGCACAGCACACAAATTTACGCAGTTACTTGAGGTCGATGAATTAAAAGTAATAGATATGGCCAGTAACGTATATATCTGAGAAAACTTTTGTAAGTGTGACTAAATGTGTGTAGGACCTCCTTCTTATTCGTATTATTATCGTCCTACATTTCAACGAATTTAAATTAGCTGAATTTTTTACAAACATACATAAAATGTTTTAAGATAAAAAATAGAGTTAAAAATTTACTTTAAAAATTCTACAAGGCTATACACTAAACTTGACAAACAAATATCTTTAAAGAAAAAAAACATTGTCATTCTGACACAAACACATATACTGACAGATGTCTCCAAAATATGGTAATTCGGACCAAATTTCAATGAAAAATGATAAATGTTAATAAAAAAGATGCATTTAAAATTTTTCAAAGATTTGAAATGACTTACAAAATTCAAAAATAGCTGAAAATTTAAGATAATTTATGACAAAAACAGTCTGTATAATAGTATCGTCTCATGTACTTAACAAGAAGCACGTACAGAAAAAAAGTTAAGCATTAAACAATGAATTAAATTAAAGCAGTTTTCAACAGATAAAAAAAGTAATATCTCTACATGTATAGAGGGACTAGAATGTATTAATAAAATGACGCTGCTCTTTAGCGATGCCAATACAAACTCACAAATAAACGGAAATCTTCTACAACAATTGCAGAAGGACGTATAAAAACAAATAAAATATCTTAATAAAATTAATTTTTTAATTACAGATCCTAGAACGTTTAGATTACATAAACAGATACACAATTAGCGAAAGCTTGCGGTCTTTAAAAAATATCGAAAGATAATATCTCAATAAGATTAATTATCTTTATAAACAACCTATTTCCTTGCCAAAATACTTTACGTTAATTTAAAACACCGTGCACCAAAATTAAAATGCAATGTAAACAAGAGTGTAGACTTAATATGTGAAATTAAAAAGTAAAGATTCTTGATAATAATGTGTTGGACTCGTTGGATGTTGTATTCTTGTTCACGAATATTCCGTACGACCTTGTTCTTGAGAGTTTTGAAAGATGTGCGCGCTACATTCTTCAAGCGTCAATAATTTCTTTTACAGAAATCATTAACACAACAAAATTCTTATTTAAGACTACGTTTTTCATCTTTGAAAATAATATTTACCATCAAACATTTAGCTCACCCATTGGGTCAAGAATTTCTCCTCTTTCTTCAAATTAGGTGCTCACCGACTGTGTTAATTATTGCTGAAAAAGTTTACAAAAAAAATGCAGAATAAAGCTGCTCTTATTCTTAACACATGTTGATGACTAAACAGCTTGTGCAAGTTAATTAATTCCTAAAAGAATTATCTAGAAAAAGAAATTATCTATNCCCTCTACCGATCCCCTTACAACCCTTATACTATTTTTATTGAATTTTACTAAAACTTTACCATGACTGCCACAGATCCTGACACCTACCCACATTAATTTTATTAGCTACTACGATGAGACATGAATTTTCAAAATAAACTATAACGTACATATAAATATTAGTAAAAACTAAAAGCTAGTATTATATATAATTATAGCATGGTTAATGTTTGCGGACGTCATAATGTTATTTTAACTTGGATTATTTTTTATCAGAACACTTTACCACTCTTCACAGATATTAAACATACTTAAATATTCTTTTTTAAATACACATTTTTGTACATCCACACTACCCATGGCGTAAATAAATGGACATTATACATACGAATAATTAATAATTAAGTAATTTATATGATTAAGAATAGGAGCTTTTTTCGATTATATTGGTCATGAACTATGTAAAAAATTTCAATTTTTTATTTGACTATGTATGAAATAATTATTAAATAATTTTTAAAGTTGTTTGAACTTAATGTATGTACATTAACTCAACATAATGTGATTGGTTAAAACAAAGACGTACATTCATTAGCACATGGTTGTCACAAACATTTCAAAAAATTCTTTTACCAAGTTTTCGTATTTTTTACGGGCGATACTTCATTAGTCTTACTAAAAGTTTCCTTACTTATCGCAGCAACTATGTAAAGTAATGAAAAAACAAATATTATCATTTAATTTGCAAGCAAATTGGATGAAATCTAAACTATAACTATTTTACTTCTGAGGAAACTTTGAATAAGAGGTTGGCTATTCTATACGTATAACCTTGAAGTAAATTGTATTACACAAATAAAATGATGCATAAATATCTGAACACGCTACCTCACCTGCAAGCTTACAATAAGTGCAGCTAAGTTTAATTTTTTTGAAATATTATCGATAAAAAAGTTTATAACAGTTTCAACTTTAATGCTTTGTCGAATTATACACAATAATATGAGATCACGCACGCGAATAAAACTAAATCACCCCACCGGTGATAACACATCTCTTTTGCATGCGAATAAAACTTAATCCCCTCACCGGTGATAACACTACGCAAATAGCAGCAGCTTGCCTCCTACACTAAATATCACTTGACTGTCTTAATTTATTTCTTACTTTCAACGTACAAACCATTAAAAACTATTATATCTATTCAACCTAGCCTTTTTTCTATACTATACTGTAATGTAAGTGCCATCAATTAATTTAGCTGCATTGCGAAGCTGAGGAAAAAATATATCTAAATCGTATTTTAAAATACATCACGAGTGACTTTGAAGGTAACTAGGGCGATTTATACCATACCAAGCAAGGGACACTTTGAGGTTCTATAAATGATAAAAAATATTTTTGGTTCATTGTCATGATAATTGAATATCTAAATCACATATTTAAATCCTAGAGTTCAATTGGCTTAAAAAGTTATTAAATTTCGATAAAAAGAATATTAAGAACTCATTATTTCAATTTGCACATGCACAAAGATGGTAAATCATTTTTCTTTGAACTTTCTCAAAATCTAAGTAGTTGACATATAATTTTGACATTTTTAAAAGATATCTTTTGAAATAAGGTACAAATTCAGTTTTTATTTGTAGAGGTTTATCATTAACTTCTAGTTTTATAGTCGTTTTAGTGACAAATTCCATAAGACTGCATGTTTAAGTGGTGACTTTGCAGTAGTGAATTTTTGAAAAATCAAGTGGTTGACCCTAGTAATTTTTCATCGCAAATGAATTTGGGACAATTCATTTCCAAAAAATTTTTAGAGATTTTTATCATTCCAGTAAAAATTAACCAAGCCACTTCAATCGTTTTTAATCGTGAACTGAAAAGTAGATGTTTTGGCGGTTGCGTACCGGGCAAAGAGAATTGACATGTGAAACGTTTCAAATGTACTATAAACTATGTCAATACTTAAGATTATTACATATTTTACAATTAGTTTAAGGATTGGGAGTCATTTTTTTGCATCAAGTTTTCCACTGGTCATTTTTCCACATTCAATTTATCGCATTAACATTTCTTGCATGGACATATTTTTGCAAAATCATTTTTCACATGGACATATGTTTGTATTTCAAAATTTCACATCGATAAAAAAAACGAAATGTTCGAATTGTGTAATCAAGGCGACCGTTTGGCACGCAAGAAAATTTCCAAAGTTTATGTTGTCAGTTCCAGTCAAAATTTTACGAGTACTTTTATAAAGATAAAGCAGAGTCATAAAGTTGAAAATGGTAAAAAATATTGGAAAAACTTTATTTTTTGATGGTTTCTTATATTATCATTCGAAAAATGTCGCTTTACAT